GACCCGCCTCTGGCCAAGGCCAAGCCAGTCAGCAATGATGGTAGCACCTCTGGGATAACATATTTAAGAAGCGGAAAAAAAACCTGCTTAAAAACATTTTTCCAGCAGGAGGGAGGAGTGGGAACCCCACAGACACCAAGGTCAGTGAAGAAGGAGGGGGAAGAGGTGCTCCAGGCACCAGAGCAGAGGTTCCCCTGCAGCCCATGGAGGTCCATGGTGGAGCAGATCTGCACCTGCAGCCCATGGAGGACCCCACACCAGAGCAGGTGGATGCCCAAAGTAGGCTGTGACCCCGTGGGAAGCCCACGCTGGAGCAGGCTGCTGGCAGCATGCTGCTGGCATGGCCTACGGACCCGTGGAGAGAGGGGCCCACGCCAGAGCAGGTTTGTTGGCAGGGTTTGTGGCCCCGTGGGGGATCCACGCTGGAGCAGCCTGTTCCTGAAGGACTGCACCCCATAGGAAGGGACACACGCTGGAGCAATTAATGAAAAACTGCAGCTCGTTGGAAGGACCTGTGTTGGAGCAGGTTCCTGAAGGACTGCACCCCATAGGAAGGGACACACGCTGGAGCAATTAATGAAAAACTGCAGCTCGTTGGAAGGACCTGTGTTGGAGCAGGTCATGGAGGACTGTGTCCCGTGGGAGGGACCCCACACTGGAGTAGGGGAAGAGTGTGAGGAGTCCTCCCGCTGAGGAGGAAGGAGCAGCAGAGACAACATGTGGTGAGCTGACCGCAACCCCATTCCCCATCCCCATGTGCCGCTGCAGGAGAGGAGGCAGGGAATTTCAGAGTAAAGTTGAGCCTGGGAAGAAGGAAGGGGTGGGGGGAAGGTGTTTTAAGATTTAGTTCTTAATTTCTCATTACCCTACTCTGCTTTGATTATTAATAAATCAAACTAATTTCCCCAAGTTCAGTCTGTTTTGCCCATGACGTTAATTGGTGAGTGATCTCTCCCTGCCCGTATCTCAACCCACGAGCCTTTCATCGTGTTTCCTCTCCCCTGTCCGGTTGAGGAGGCGGAGTGACAGAGCGGCTTCGGTGGGCACCCGTGTCCAGCCAGGCTACACCATGACAATATGCCTCTGCATTGTTGTAGTTGGGTGCAGGTTATAGGTTATGCTTATCTAACAGGTAACAGCTCGTCACTCACTTTGAATTTGATGCATTCGTAACCTGCCAACACTGCTGCCATTGCTGTTGCATGAGCCAGTGGGCCCTGCAGTAAGGTTTGCCCTGTAACTGGCAGTTCCGTCGGGCAGCAGAGGCTGCCTGCAAAGAGGTCTGCGCTGCAAGTCTCTTTCCTTCAGCACGCCTGAGACAGCCGTGCTCTGACCGGGGAGTGGGACTGGGCAGTAATAACAAATCAAGAGATGCGAGCTAGAAGAAGGTACCTGGGGAGGACCTGGGTCAGAGAATGTACTAACTCTGGAGTGATTTCTGCTGTGTAGCAGTCAAAAAGAGGAAAGACGTCTGGGAGCTTCTGGCTGCCAGGACCTGTGGCATCGCAGTGTTGCATCTCAACGCTCTGTCAGCGTGTGCCTGCTCCTTCCAGCTCCCTCCACTCATCAATAGCCCTTCACTTACGGCTCTCAGAGGTGTGCTCCTGTCTCTCCCATGTGACCTGTTCCCCCAGTTAGAGCGCTGCTCACCTAAACTGTAGTCTGAGGAATGGTTGCAGTTTGCTTGGAGGACTGCAGCCTCCTCAGTAGCCTGGTCTTAGGTTTTCTTGCTGCAGAATTGGAACTTCTCATGGTACTGCACTGGGGACGTACAAAGCAGGGAGGTCTAAGCAGGAGCAAGTCTGCTGCTCCCGTGACTTAGCCTACAACTCACAGCTAGCGCTCTGGGTAATGGAGATGCTGTACCTCTCATCTGTCGCTTGGCGTGGTGGGAAGAGAAGCTGAGACTGTCCAATTCCATTGGACCTGTATTTTCCCTTTGGAAAGGAGATGGTCACAGTAGGAACCAAGGAAAGGACTGCGTCATGTGTAAAATGTTTTGGAAAACTACTTCTAATTTAGAACTACTGGTGTTTTGGTATTCAGTGAAATGGTTGTTTGGAGATGGGCGACTTAAGAAAAGTGAAGCAATTGTAAACAATTTTGAATTATTATGTACAAGCTTAAGGCAGACTACAGTTTAACTTTATTGGCATAGAACAGTGCTTGTGAAAAGTCAAAATCCTAGAGTAAGTTTGAATACCGAGTACAGTAATGATCCCTTTTGTCTTTGAAGAATTCAGTTTAAATCGGGATTTGGCAAATAGACTGCATATATCTTTGTAAGAAGATTTGACATCGCTGGAGGAGCACATGCTTCAGCTGTGATGATGAAAATTATGTTGTCCATAATCTTGTTAAGGAAAGAGTTACTTCAGTGACCAGTCTGCAGAGATTTTTGTGAGAGTTAGTCGGTCTGATTACTTTGTTTTCCATATGGCCAAACTACTAATTGTCCGTAGAATACTCTAAAGGTGACCATAAATCTTTATCATCAGCTCATGTATGTGTGCTGAGAAGTTGACTGATTGAAAGTCACCGACCTTGAGTATCGGTGCTTTCTATTTAAACAGAAGAGGGTATTCTTCTTGACAGAGTAGAATAGTTTCTATGTAAAGAAAAACAGTAATTCATTGCAGTGCAGTTTGGAGCTTTATGGTCCACCTTCAGAATACAGTGTGTTATAGTAACTTTGGGCAGATATTTTTCTGTGATTACAAGCTGAGTTAAAGCTCTGTGAGCTGCTTGGTTTTTATTACCATATCATAGCTTGTAAATCATGCTGTATTAGTAAGGGCTGGCATTTCTCACGGGGAAATATTAGTCGTCTTGACATTCTTCCAAATTTGTTAAAAGTTTTTAGCCAGTACAGTGGAAGAACAACTGCTAGGCATTTCTGTATGTGCATACAAGTCCTTAATTGGCTAACAGATGTACTTCAGGATTATTCCCAGGAACTAAACATGTCTTGTCCTCTGAGGGTATTCTTAGCTTGAGAAACAGATAACGTACAATATTCAGTGAGTCATTGCGCCCAGCACTGCTTTTCCTTCACAGTGGTTTTAAGAAGGATGAATGCTTTGCTTTCCCATCTCTGTGTCTAATTTTAGTAGGCCAGTGGGCAGGAGGACTTTCAGGCCACCTTCTCAGATGATGGCATCCAAAACACTGAAACTTCAAGATGACCTGCCAGTTTTAGTTCAGTTGGGGGAGGATTTTCTTAATGAGTTCTGATTCAGCAAAGTATGTTGCAAGTAGGTATGGCTGGGTGGTACTGTTGTGCTGTTGAGCATGGTATATGTGTATAACACACCTCCTGTTCTTAATTTCTGGATAAATACACAGGGTCACGTTTTAGTGTTAATTTGTGGTACTCCCACTCCAGGGAGATTTGATTCTCTTATTACAAAGCAGAATTTGGCCCCTAGTACATAGACAACAGTCATAAAAGAACCATAACCTGTTCTTTTTATCCTTTTGTGTTAATGGACTGTTAAGGGTAAATTTCTGTCTTGAAAGAAAGTAAGATCTCGCAGCTCAAGGTATCTGCTTTTATATTTTCTTACCAAGAGGGTGACTTGTCCAGAAAATCGTAGAATCATAGAATCATAGGTTGGAAAAGACCTCTGAGATCATCAAGTCCAACCATCCACCCAACACCACCATGCCTGCTAAACCATATGCCGAAGTGCCACATCTACACATTTTTTTAAACATCTCCAGGGATGGTGACTCCACCACCTCCCTGGGCAGCCTGTTCCAATGCCTGACTACTCTTTCAGTAAAGAAATTGTTCCTAATATCTAATCTAAACCTCCCCTGAAATGATCGTATCTCTCTCTTTCTCTGTCTGACATACGTACGTATATATTTCACATCATACGTCATGGCTGATTTGACGTTACTCTAATTTTCTGCTATTTATAGAAGAAGAAATTCCTTGTGCTCTATATAAAGCTGTTGAAAAGAAGTTTTGCAATGACTGCAAGTGGCAATATAAAGTAATCTAAAGCTAGCGTAAGGAATTTTAGCCACACATATAACTGCAGAGAAGAAATGAAAGCATTTAAAAATCAGTAGCTTGTGTATGTTTTGAAAACTAATATATTTGTTTGAAGCAGCCTGCCAAAGACACCACTTGTTTCCTTGCAGACTTTGTTATAACAGTGCTGCATGCTTGAAGTCATGTAGCAGTGTGTTTAGAAGTGTTTTACTCCTGAGGTTTTTTCTCAGTATTTTAGCCCATTGTTCTTACGTGCTTAACCTGGACCTAAAACATTTTTTAATATGCAGGGTTTTCACATGTGGTAGTGTGTTCATGGGGAAAAAAATTGGAAATTTTGCATCAATGTAGACATGAAAAATAGCATTTTAAGCAAATAATTATTCATTTTAGAAACTGACAATTTAGTAACTTGCCAACCAAAAGTGTCTGTGAAATGATGTCCGTTGTGCCATGAAGTGGTCACAAAACCGCAGCCATATGTTACCAAGTGACTACTGGACAATTGCTTTAAAAAATGTTGATAAATGAGAAAGTGGAAAAAGATTATTAAGGTGAGTTCAATTATTTCCCATTTGGTACCTGAAAACACATAATACAGTGTGTCCGATTTTTACATTTTTAATTAAGATATGGTTTAAAATTGCTATAAATTCAGTGAGCTTTGTAGAGATAACAGTTTGTAGTATTGATCGAAGTCAATGTTACCTATTTTCATGCCCAGAATCTCCCACAAATGAAAACAAGAAAATGAGGTAATATAATCTGATTTTGAAAATGAGTACTGCAAAATTATTTTTCCCAGAAACAAAATGATTGAATTGTAACGAACAAAGTTTTGATTTTAGTCACTTGATCAATCTTTTAAAATAAGCGTTACTTTTGAATTGTTATTAAAAGCATTTCCATATTTATTTTTCTGCTTTTTATATTTTTTTCAGGATTTCCCCATAACAAAGTTTCTCATGTTTTTTTTAACACAGATATCTATCCATTCCAGAACTAATATTTGCTACAACCAGAGACTGAAATGGTATGACTGGAGCTTTTAATAATTTGGCTTTAACAGCTCCATCATTTTCTGAGAACTTGGAACGGAATTTGGGCTCTGCTTCTGCACTATCCTAGGTTATAATGCCATCCTTGCCTAATGAGGGAGGTATGCTAGTCTTGGATTTTTAATATAGCCTATTAATTATTCAGTATGCTTGTACCTCTAATTTTCAACAAAGTAAATGTATTTTTACCTCATTTGTATATATAATTTGAGATGTAAAGTTGCTGATAGTTACAACATTATTTTTCAAAGATAACCATGGAACTACTCCTCTGACTTTGAGTTCGGAACTACCGTATCAAAGCACAATTAAAAGAAAAGTCGGAAAGAAGAAGGACGGAGTCATCACTGCAAATGTCGCTGGCACAAAATATGAAATTGGTAGGAAGCTACATACTTTGTTTTTATCCTCATAGCTATTGACGCGAGTGAATTACGAATTGATGGGGTGAATTAAGGGACTTTGTATCAAGCTGACAGTGAGACATTTGCAAAGGATTTTCGTTTGTAAGGAATCTTTGTTCTTCTTTTGTAGCATTGAGTTGATAGCTTTGAACACTGTGCATCCAGTACTCCCCATTTGTTACTCAGAATGGCCTTGAAATGCAAAAACTTAAGTAATCAGGAAGGCTGTGGAAAACCCGTCTAATTATGAATTACGTATGTGTTTGGAAGTTTACTTAAAGCCTTGAAAGATGAACAGTGTAAATTTGATGTTAAATACTCTAATTATGATACAGAGGTTTCTCAATAAAATCTGCCAATGTTTTGTGTTTTGGTGCCTGGGACTACTTCAGAAAAACCTTTTCTCCTAGAACTTCAGTTATGCCTGGCACATAATCAGTCTTTTCTCTATATTAATATAATGTATACATTTGCTTTTGTAACTACTGTACCTTGACCCCTGTCTGCAGTGACACTTAAAGCCATCACAGTTTTAAAATTAACATATGTGATAGCCAAGATTAAGTCTAAAAGCTGTGCAAGTGGACTTTTACTAGATGATTGTGGAATGCCCTGAAGCCCTTTACAGTTTCCGCTAGTGGTTCTGTATTCCGTATTCTGATTCGGTACGTAATGTCATGACAGGTTTGCAGTAGACTGATGGAAATACCACAAGATAGATAATAGCTTGCATGCTAACATTGTTTTCAGATAAAGAGATGAATATTGGAAGTGTTTAAAATCTTAAATGATTTTTTAAATTTTGAAAATAAATGTATTTTAGAGATTCAAAATATTCCTTAAGTATGTGATTTCTCCGTAGTACGTGTAGTAATACGAGAAATGGGATTTGTAAAAACGCGTGATGAAGATGAAACAGCTAATCTTGTATGGAGTGATTCTGCTGTGCAACAAGAAAAGATTGCTGAACTTCGGAACTATCAGGTAGAGTGGTAGTTAGGATTTCTGATGTGTTTCAGTAAACTGCTTCACTCTGAAAGGTTCGGTAATGTGTCACTTTTGGTCAGTTGCCTTTTGTATGGAGAGGAAAAAAACCCCACAAAACACCACCAACCAGACTGCAATAAGGCTATACCATTACATACTTTAAAATCCTGTTCTCTTTTCCAGAGTTATTTGTTCATACCACTTGGAATCTGGTGTTTAAATATTTGGGGCTGTTCTTTCATGCTTTTGTCTGCCAGTTGGTGTTGTGAATGATCAGAGTTTGAAAGAAGATGCAAAACACCATTTATAAGTTGCTCATAAGCTTTTAAGCAGTAAGTTAACAAGCAGAACTCTCTCCACAGTTTCTGTGAAAAATAATTCCCTTTTTTACCATTACTTTGTGATAGCATTCTTTTGTTTTTAGATAGCTTTGTGAATAAGAGTATGATAGTCTCCTTTCATGTCTGAAATGAAATCAATGGGCATACTCATGTTGGTGGAGAGAATACAACTCGCAGTATCTTTAGTATTGCTAAGAATACATAGCATAATGTAAGATATTATCTTAAATAATTTATTTGTCACAGTAATTATGTTTGCCTGAGCATGCAGTTGAACATTTTAAATGATTGTATTAGGTATGCCAGGAAAACTAAGAAGTACCAACTTTCTTTTTTTCTCCTTCCTCAGAGAATCAACCATTTTCCAGGAATGGGAGAGATCTGCAGAAAGGATTTTCTGGCAAGAAACATGACTAAGTAATCTTTCTTTTGTTATTAAGAAATTTTTCAGCCACAGTATTTAATGCAGCAGAATACTGAGTTATTGCTTATAAGCTTTATTTATTTTTATAAAGAGGCTGTGAAAGGACCAAGAATAATTTTCAAAGTTTCTTAATAGCTTGGACTTTGGTCCTGGATCTGTAATATCGACTGAGCTACTGTATCTCTCCAATTGACTTCAGTGGGAAATGGTGTGGGTTCAGTTCTCTATCTATACATTGCAGAATGCAAGAGAGCCTTAAATTGTTGTATAATACACTTAATACACCGAAGCATATATCCTGTAATGGTAGAACAGAAAAAATAGCTAGTAAGTGGATGGATATTGTTTCTTTAAAATAATGACTGTTATTTTGTATATGAACTTTAAAAAATGTGAAGCGTCTTACTATTTATACAAGAAATAAGTCAAAGAGGCTCATTTCTCTAATTATAGATTCTCCTCACTCTAGTGGAATAAGTGGGTTCTGAGGAATTATCCTAGCTGAGAATCTGTGAGTAAGACCTGTAAGAAAACAATACCAAATAATGATTCAACAGCCTGATAATAAGGAAAAGTTTAGGGATAAATGTATGTGAATATTTTGATTCTTCTAGTCTATTTTAAAGAGCAATTATTAATAGTTTATCTTTTGGCCCCCAACGTTACCTACATTGCATTTGCTGTTACCAGAACAGAATTTGTTTTCATATATTAATGTAATTAAAGGGATATCTCCTCTCTCTCTCTCTCTCTCTCTCTCTCTCTCTCTCTCTCTCTCTCTCTCTCTGTGTCATTCCTTTTCTTTTTCGTAACTACAACACATAGCATGTAGAATGTATGCAAGTATTGTAATGCAGATATTATGTGCATTGCTATGGTGTCTACATGTGTTCTATGTGTGGGCCAGAACTCCTTTGTGTCAATACATGCTACACACACACTTTTCACTGTCTCTTGCAGACTTAAACTCTGAGTGAAAACACAGGATCATAGAATCATTAAGGTTGGAAAAGACCTCTAAGATCATCAAGTCCAACCATCAACCCAACACCACCATGCCTGCTAAACCATGTCCCAAAGTGCCATATCTACACATTTTTTTGAACACCTCCAGGGATAGTGACTCCACTGCTTCCCTGGGTAGCCTATTCCAATGCCTGACCACTCTTTCAGTAAAGAATTTTTTCCTAATATCCAGTCTAAACCTCTGCTGATGCAACTTGAGGCCATACACAACTTCAGGCCAGAGATAGTGCCTGGAGGCAAACAGCTATCTGGAGAGGTCCTGGAAACAGTGGAACAGCATAGGTCAGCCTGGTAGGCAGTGGTATTCCTGTGTCTTGATACAGTTCTGTGATTTTAAAACAATGTGTGAAATGGACGAAAGGCTCTTGTTATCATGCACCCATTGTTTTTAAATACAGTCTGTTTATACCTCTCTCAACCTACTGAATTCTGAGTCTGAAATATAATTTAAAGGTACTCAACGCAGAGATTGCATGTATGATAGATGTGGGAATAATTTCTCTGATATGCTGACTCTGGGTCAAACATATCTATGTTGTGACTTCATTTAATATTAGTGGATGTAACAGGGTTTTAATCAGTCTGTTTTTTGCAATACTAGCCTCACAATTCAATACTTAGTATTTGTAATCTGTAAACATCAAAATTATATGCCTTGAGACTGCTTGTGAAACGGACACATGTGTGTGAAATCACCAGTCAGTTGCGATACATGTTTGGGAAGGCTCGTGTGTGTAGACTGGAGGATTTTGTTCCATACAGCTGCTGTTTTGTCTTAAAATTTATTTGAACAGATTAGTGCGGAAACACTAATTCTGTTCTCTTGCTTTTCTGCTGCATGCAGTCTTTTCTATTCCTGACTCGTACAGAATAGCTATGAGTTTTGTACTATTGAGAGTTCATGAAACAATGGCTGAGAATTGGTGGAGAGTAGATTCTTCTACTTCTTTTCCTTCTACCTTTGTTGTTACACTGATCTCATCCTTCAGTTTTATGCAAGCTGTTGGAATGGAGCGAAAGAACAGATCTACGAGACTCTGAGAGGCAAATGCTTTTCAGGAGGAATTGCGCTTCAGGAATTCCTCTTACAGCCAATATCCAGGTGCTCTGGATCACAGGACAATGTGGTTTTCACATGCAGAAGGGTGGAAGGGTGTAGTGTAATACATAGCATATGTAATAAGGAAGAAGACAATGCAACATGGAAAGTGTAGGGACACAGACCAAGCGTTGTTTTCAAGGGGAATAGTCAGAACACAGAAAAGAAAAAATAAAGTAGAAGTGCCATTGTAGGGCCAACTAGATCTTAATTTCTGTAAATGGTCTGTTAGATGAGACATCGTCTTGTGAAGGACAAATGTGGTTACAGAATGCGTGCAAGAAGTGGGGGAGAAGGTGTATAGGAGGAATGGGAAGGGGAATAGGCCCATCTATGAGTTGGTCTTTTTTGCAGCACCTTTGTTGTTTACATTTGAAAGGCTTCTGAACTGATCATGGACCAAGAAGCATTCTCATCCACACCTAGCCACCAACCTCCTGTCATACTTGAGAAGTCAGGCGATCTTGAAACCTAGGCAGTGGAACCTGCGTTATTAGACTGACAAGTCATGTCTTTAACCTACGTTTTCTTCAACATCTGTGATTCTTTTGTACAGAAAGCACTCTGAGAAACAAGAGCAGTCTGACCACATCTGTGAGTTAAAATAGCACTCAGAAGAACAATAACTTGCTGTTTAATTGTCAGACCTCCTGCTAAGCACAGTAGTGGATAGCAGATGTGCTGGAAAATAGGGCTATTGTAATGGAATAGGTCTTGATTCCACAAGCTACTTGATGATGTTCCTAAGCCATTTCTGAATACGGCCAAACAGGGAAAGAACAGAGCTGAATTCTTTCACTGAAAGTTTTGGTGAGCACCAGAAATTGTGAATGATGGTTAAGTATTCCACTTTGTATTATTAAATATTTATAGTGTATCCAGTTATGCAGAAGATAGAAAAAAGCAAGTAGATCTGATGTACTTGCAGTTGCAAAACAATATATCTAGAATACCATGAAGTTATATTCATTGAGTAGGGAGTAAGTGTATTGAAACCTGCAAGTAAGTTAAATGGCAAGTGTCTATCATGTAACACTTCAGGATGCATATGGTAAATAATTTGGAGAGGAATGGAAACTAACATGGAAATTGCTTTTTGCCTAAAAATAGGATAATTTCTGCCTAGATAAGCTATTTAGTTAGCAAGCTAATAACATTTGTAAATATATACCAGACGGAGAGTAGTTTAAAAATACACATGAATCATGAATTACAAATATATCTTTTTTGTGACTATGTGGTGGCTTTCTTCAAACCGGATTTGTAAAAATAGTGGTTACAGTGAAGCTGCAGAAGCACTGAACCTTGTGCAGTACTTCAGGACTACTACAGCTATTGTGGTTTCTAGAGAGCATTTGTTGGGTAGTTGGCTAAAGAGTTTGGTGACAGTGTATCTATTATACCAGTAGGGCTTGGCGTCAGTCCGAGCCTTACAGATGTGGCTGGCATCTCTGTTTTTTTCCGTTAGTATTGGAGCCACTTAAAGAAAAAGTGTCTTATTTGCATCGGGAGTGTTATGTAGGCTCATAGTAGAAATGAAAAATTGAGATGGTATTGTCTCTTCTATGTTTAAGTTACCCTGATACTATTAGTTTCTATTACCAAAGTAGAAGTACACCTAAATCTGCAATTATTTAAAAGGTATTAAAATTCATCATGGTGCCATTTTTTTAAAATCTAAGTTGAGGAACTTCCTATGTCAGTTAATTTCTTTTTAAACAACCAATCACTTTCTATTGATCTATGGATATTTGTATGTTAGAGGCGTCCACCCTATGTTACAGAGTAGTTTTGAGCTACCCGAACAAATTTCATAGGAGGTTATGTATGAAATTTCAGGTATTCTGAATACCTGAAACAAGCTAGCTGCACCAGTATTTAACTCGGCAAAGACGACATTTATTCTGCTGGGAGCTATGGTATACTAGTCTGCATAGTACCAATAAGTCCACATTGCTCCTATAACTTGACTGTTAACCAGTATTAAAGCTACTTTGTCTGAAGCTAAACCGTATGTATCCTAGCCCATACTGCCAGTCTGGTGTGGGCATATATTTCCTGTCTGCCAGATACACAACTTTCGGTGATGGAAACTTCTGCTAACTGAATTCTCTACCATTTTTCCACTTCTGTTTGTCTTTTCTGCTCTCAGACAACAGAGCTATAACATGAGATATGCTCACTACCTCACTGCTGCAGCTATTAAAGCAGGGACATTAGGACCTTGCTGCATCCTTTAACCAGATTCTGCTTTGGAGATTGTTCCCTACGGTTTCTTAACCTTATTTTTGTTTTGGTTCCTCTGTTCCCTACCCCCTCCTCCCCCTTGTCTTGCTTTGCATTTCTTTGCTTTCTTTTGACTAAATAAGGTGCTCAGGGAATCTCAGTCACAATATGCTGGTACCAAACACAAATCCAAGCTTCTGTGTTTTGCCCTATATTGGAGGTGCATGAGTGGTTGCTTGGCTTGTGTCAACGTATATAGATTGCAATTCCTTACTTTTGAAATGCCTTCAAAAGAAAGAAACAAAAAACTCTTCTGAAATAGCTTCCATTTTAATTTTAAATTCAATCCTTGTTATTAATATTTTTTGCACCCATGAAGAAACGCCAAATATCTCAGGTCTTTTTTTTGTATGTGCTGATCCTCATACATCCCCAAATACATACCAATATGAAACTTGCCAAATATCCCCACCCGTCCCAGGGGGAGGGAGGAAGAGGAATACAGGAATCTGGGAGTCTGTTAGGTAGGAAAAGATCTACAGTCACGTGGTCTTTTGTAAGCTGAATATTTCTAAGTATAGGAATAGCATTCATCTGAGTAACGGAACAGACTGTAACAGGATTGTTATGGATGCCAACAAATGAGATGAATGCCAGTAACATAATAAGCAAATATGATATGATAATAAGCAAAATGCACAAGATAGTCTGGTTTTGTTGTTCTTAAAGTATGCGTATTAATATGTTATAGACCGCTAATGATTCTTAAACAACTGCAGAAGTTTGCTTTCATATTCCAGCATTTTGCTAAAAAAGTTTCCTTGTCAAATTACTGTAAATGCTTTTCAATCCTGAGGACTGATGCATCAAAGTAGTTAAAAGATTTTAACTCAATTACACTCTGTTGTAGAATGATCAAGAGTCAGCCTCAGGAGTATGGTTTTATTCCTCGAACATGGATCTTCCCTGCAGAGTACACACAGTTTCAGAACTATGTAAAAGAACTGAAGAAGAAACGTAGACAGAAAACTTTCATAGTCAAACCAGCTAACGGTGCCATGGGACATGGGTAAGTTGCATGTTAACTTCAGTCTTCTTGCCCATTAAATGTGAAATCTGGTACTATTTGCAGTGTTAACAGAAGCTGTGTATTAGTGAGAAGTTTGTACTTAAAGTTGTGTGGTCAATGTAAGAAAGTTTGTGTATTGGGTGAAGGCTTAACAAGCAGAAACAGCTAAAATATAAAGCTAAATGGAAGTGGTATTTAATGTTGTTCCGAACGTGGCATAATTACACAATGCATTTTCTAATGAGGCTCAAACAATTCTTAAGATTAGAATTATTGTGAATTTATGTAAAGAATGTATTTATGGACCTGTTGTGCGCAGACTTACGGGGTGAGATTGTGTTGGGCATAAATGGCAGGGTCTTGGTGGTTGGGGATTCCAGGGGTGTAATGTGTGGAGAAGGTCAGGATCTTCCACAGCCCTGAAACCCACCCAGCCACCCCACTGTGTGCCAAAACTGCAGCCAGTCAGAGAAGCACAAACTTATTTAAGAGTGGCAGCCGTGAGGTGTGGGGAGAAAACAGAGGAGACCCTGTTGGAGCTGTGGCTGGAGGTGCACTCCTGGAGGGAGGTGACACCCATGCTGGAGGTGGACACCCCTGCAGAAACTGCAGCCTGCTTTTGAGTTGAAACGGCTTTGCCTCTGACAGGGCTGCACAGTAAAAACCAATGAGATAAGTATTGTGATTTCATTCTTAACTCTGTTCTTGGTTTTAGATATGTCAATTTTAGCTTTTATTGCTTTTAATATCAATTTGCATTATACAGTATAGTAAAGCTCTTAGTTCTTAAAAATATATGAGAATTACTGTAAAAGTAAAGCCCCCAAACTTTCCTGTTTTCTTATTTTTCAGTTGTCTCAATAAGGGCAAAGATAAGCTGAAGGGAAAGTTAGCAGCATATTTCAGAGAAATGTCTGCAAAGTACTTCAGTATATTAGTAGTGTTCAGCACCAGAACACTGAAATGTATCATAAATAATAGAGGGTAAGATTAAGGCAATGAAGCTATGGGTATTCAGGGTTAATAATGATACACTGAAAAATATTAGCGATTACAGTTATTTAAAAGCCCATGTAGTTATGGACTGTCAGTTTATAGTCTGTATATAAACCATTTGTTCATGCTGATATGGGGAAACGAGAATACAGAAATACTGAGCTTAATCTATGCCATCCTTAGTTGGACCGATCAGTATCCTGCTTTGCAAACATCATCACCGAGTCAGGTTAGTACTGAAAGTTCTTTGCAACCAGTACGATGGGCAGAAGTGGTGACAAGGAAAGGCTGGAAGCCTATTTTTAGAGCTGCTTGGGGAAGAATAATCACAAGAGCTGGAGACTGGTCGTTCTGCCAAACAATTACTAAGTGTAGAGGAAACCCATTATTACAAATTGTTGAATCAAAGGAAGCAGAAAGTTATTTTGAAATGGCTCATTGCCTGTTTTCATCCAGTGAAGCACCGTAAAGGACAGGAAGCCAAAAGCCATGTAAGCGAATGGCACTTTTTCTCTCCCCTACAAATCAGATCTGTGAGTCTCTTTCTCCAGTTAGACTTTAGCCTGACTACCTGGCTGGGTGACCGTGAAAATCTGTTTTGAAGAGTCGTGTCAAAGTTTCATGTTTTTAAAATAACTTGTTTTTTCCAGGATCTCTTTAATAAGAAATGGAGAAAAGTTACAAGCTCAGGACCACTTGATTGTTCAGGAATATCTTGACAAACCATATCTTATGGAAGGCTACAAGTTTGATTTACGTGTGTATATTCTTGTAACCTCCTGTGATCCATTAAAAGTATTTTTATATCATGATGGACTAGTGAGAATGGGCACGGAAAAGTATCATCCCCCCAGTGACTCAAATTTGGTAAGTTGGTGTTCATTCCAATTTATTGCTTACACATGTACAATTTTACCTGTGATGTGTTTGGAGGAGGTAAAATAAAATAAATTGTGACATGAGATTTAATTTGGTGTTCATCTGGCTGAATTTTTGTGTTGTCATTGAAGAGAAAAAAATAAAATGGAAGATATATCACTCATGCTTTTCTATCAAAACCACAAGTATAGCCATATTATTGCTTATGTATAAAAACTTAGTATGACTTTGCATGCATGTATGCTAAAGAGTTTAAATATTTCCTAACAGAAAGCGAAAGATGTCAGTCATTCAACCCAGAAAAAATGAAGTAAAGAAAATGACTTCAAGAGTGGTTACATTTCTTTTCTACTTCTCTGAGACTCGGTTTGGGGTTGTGTAGGGGGAGGATAAGATCTGCCTCCTGCTAGATCATTGTTTAACATCCCTGAAGTTTAGAGCTTCTGCTGAGGATCATGCAGTGTTTCAGCCACTGTGTTGGAAACCTATGCAGAAAACAGAAAAACAGTGATAAAACGACCAGTGCAGGAGAGCGGTCGCTGCAATCCCTGAACGTGAGAGAACCTGCTGCTGATGCTGTTTGTCAGTGACTGCTTCCCCAGGGAAAGGAGTATATCCTTGATAAGCTAAGGACGATACAGCAGGGCTGCCTATAAACTTGCAGAGAACCAAGAGTTGGTAAGGGACATGCTACAGTTTTTGGACATTTTAATCCTTCTGTTCACTGTGTAGCATCTTCCTCCATTGAGAAGTGTAACCCCTCCCTTTTGGCACAGACCAGAATGCAGATGGCTGTTAAAAAAGTAGATTTGAAGCATTGGGAGGCATCAGTAGATCTGAGATTGTTATACCTCGCTGTACTCCATTGCTACCGTATCTTTTCTTTTCCATACCATATACTTTTAGAGCTGCTTCAGTGTAATTATACAATAGGCAACACATGGAAAGCCTTTTTCCCTTCTTGTCACTTAAAATTGTGTCTCTTCGTGCTCTTTTGAAGAATGCAGGTATAATTTGGAGCTCAGTTCAAATGGTGTATTTGGAAGAGTTCCAATATTATGTTTGGAATAGTTTGCTTTTAATATTTTTTATTGTTACTAATCTCAGCATTAGCAGCACTGAAATACGCTCTGAGCAGATAAACAGAACAGGCAGTCATTTCTATATTCTCACAACTGTTCATGTTGTAGTTTGTCTACTGTCTGAAATAACCGAGGTTAGCACTAATGAGATTGTTCTTTGGATGACATTGTTCCGCGGTAACATTGTTCCAGATAACTTCAGACTAAAGATCAGTTCAGATGTTTAACAAATGCTCTAAAAACGCTTTCATTTTTTTGTAGTCTGAAAAATAATTGCTTTTGTCTGAAGTAATTTGAATTTCATGGAAAGATGACATTTGTAACGACTCAAAACCAATAGGCTTCAGAACGATTCTCAAAGCAGTAATTGGAAGCCCTGGGAGAAATTCATTACTTGTAGTGCTAATACAATATATTGTTAACTAGCCTGCAATTAAGTTGATTGGTTTTCTTAATTTCATGAAGATTTTTTTTAAACATAAGTAAGTGTAGTGAGATAAATTACAGCAGAAAGCTTGTGTTATCTATTGGCTATCTTATCAGAAAGGAATTGGAACAGAAGGCTTATGGTCAGCTTAGAACATCAGCTACACTCAAGTGAGGAATCAAACATGACAGAGAACTGTCACTGTGATGCAGACAGTTATCATGGCAGTGTAAGTGGGAAGCTGAATTAATATCTCTACTGGGAGATAATGTAAACATATGAATCATGATTTATAAATTGGCCTTGGAAAGGTAGTTGTTTTTTTTTTTTTCCAAATGCAACTGATAACATGAATCTATTGCTGGTGAGATTTTGCTCCATAAAGGAACTATAGCACTCACTGATTTATGTAATGTATATCTTGAAACTTACCTCCCTCTGATGTATGGCTACCAGCCAGTCAAAAATGAGCAATTTTGGCAGATATCAACATGGCAGATGAATTTATATGTAAAAGATATTTTAAAGTATCACTATCTTGGGAACATTTCTCATAAATAAACTACAGTGAAAACTGAAATGTGGGATTGTCTATGAAACAGATGCCAGATTTTTTTTTTTAGTACTTCAAAATACCATCTTTATTGTTTGCTTCTTGTGGAATGTAATCATTCTGTAACTTATGATAGTTGCTCTTCACTTTTTTAGGTAGTTGTTTACATACAGACCTGTAAAAATGGCAGATATATTGTATTGCCTAACCAGATGTTGAGTGGTAGATCTGTTGACTGAAACTGGCTCAAACAGGAGCACAGGTTTTAAGAAGGCTAGAACAATCACTAGATTGCAAATATGAACTGTTTGACTGTGTCATTATTGATTTAAGATATTTTTTTTCCTTTTAATGATTTTAAATTGGCCATTCCAGAGCTGTATTTAAGGGTTTTTTTATGTCTTTTCTCCCTTTTTTTAGAGTCAATTGTATATGCATCTGACTAACTACTCTGTCAATAAACATAATGAACACTTTGAACGGGATGAAACGGAAGACAAAGGAAGCAAACGCTCCATAAAATGGTTTACTGAGTTTCTAGAAACAAATAATCTTGATGTCACCAAATTCTGGAGTGATATTTCAGTAAGATCAAACTAATACGCTTTATTTTGTGTATTCTTAGAAAATTAATTGCTTCTGCCATCCTCTTTACTGGAATCCAGAATGATTTTTGAAACTGTATTATTCCAAGTTCTCGGCAATACGTGCCACAAAGGGCATACTATAAACGATGATTGTGTTTTTTAAAAGACTACATTTGTAATCAGACTCTGAATTTAATGTTCAGCTTTTTCTGAGGGACAAAATCCCTTTCAAACAGTTATTCACAAAAGTGATACGGTACAAAGGAACCGTCCCATATAAATTCTTGGAGACTTTCTTTAAGTATAAAGTGAATTTTATGTGTGATTATTTACAAAATTGTAGTTAGTGTTGCATGTATCTGTGGACTCAAACCTGTGCCATTGAAGTCAGTGGTTATGTTACAGGTGTCTTTAGGTGAGGAGCAGGCCTAAGATTTTTAGAGCATAGGTATGTAAGAGTCTGAGAATATTTATTGAAAATTATATTGCAGAATGAAATGGGTGAGGATTGGCTATACAATGCTTTGTTCCCAATAAGCCTTTAGTATTTAAGTTATCAGATATCTAAAAGTACGTATGTACTATGGAAAGTGCAACAATATACTCTAGGTATGTAAAAAATTACATCTGCCATAAGAATTGTTTTTTTATTATAGACCATTTATTTGGTATTTTAAATCTTATTTTTTAGTAGATACTTTAATGAAATTTGAAAGATTAAGGTTTGAATTACATTAGTTCAATATATACTGATGTCTTCTTTCCTGATGAATTTTTCTGAAAAAAATCCCTACAGGAGTTAGTAGTGAAGACTCTCATAGTTGCAGAGCCCCATGTTCTTCATGCTTATCGCATGTGCAGGCCAGGGCAAGCGCCAGGAAGTGACAGTGTCTGCTTTGAAGTCCTGGGATTTGATATTCTGCTGGACAGAAAACTAAAACCGTGGCTCCTAGAGGTAAACCTCTTTAAACAAATGTAAAGTAATTTAAGAGTACGGAAGTAAGCCCTGGCTGAATCCATGTTTCTGTTAGAAAACTTAAAAAAAAAAAAAAAAAGATATGTGTATTGCAGGAGGTACTGTTGTTGAGTACACAGATGGTGCTTTTTCTGCAGCATCCATATGGAAACACTGCCTTGCAGTGATTTTTGGAGACTCAGGTAAACGTAATTGTTTTCCTGGAGGGATGTTACATTTCAGATGTTTTGGAGAGTTTTAATGAGAAACGTGATGTTAATCCAGTTGTTATTGTAGCTGACCTATGTTGTTTATAGGAATTGGGTGCTACATAGATTTCCTTCACAAGTATGGGTCTGTAATATGGCTCTGGCAACTTTTGTGAATTTGGGGTCTTAATTTTCTTTTTTTTGGGGATATGTATTCTTTTCCTCTCCCGTGGCTTTTAAAAGCACCCCCATAAAGAGAGGAAACGAATTCAGTATACACAAAATGCCATCAAACGGGTGGTGTGAGTGGACCGGAAGAAGCGTTTCTCCTCTGATGTGTTAGTGGTACGGGGAAGCTTAAGTGGTGCTTATATGCATTTTCAACCAGGAGTGTTTGAAGTTTGTCTATTGTGTCTCTTTAATTACACTATTAATAACATACAAATGAAGTTCATTTGTCTTTTTTTCAGATTGTCTTATTATGTTAACTGGTTGGGAGGCTGGACAGCTGGAGGAAAAAAGCAAAATGTATTAAAAATCTGTCTGTTGACAATAAATCATGAATGTGATTTGGCTAGTGGTGAGCAAAATGTACACAATTAATTTACTGAATTATAACCTTGTTCTCAGGCCATTAATACTATCAAAAGTTGTTTTGTTGTGCTTATTTCTCTCTGGGGTTCACTATAACTTTAATTAAAAAATAAAATTCCTTCCCTGTTGCCATGCAGACATAGGCATATTTGATGGCTTTGATGTGGTAGCCAAAAGCAGCACATGACAGGAACTTAGTCTGTGCTACATGACATCTTCTGGTTTTGTTGAGCAAAGCCTACTATACCTTTGATTTAGCTCTATACTTCCAGATTATCATCTCTAGGTTGCGTGTAGCTTGCATATAAGTGTATGTAGTTAAGTACAGACTGAAGTTGGTCTGTATACGTGTTTCATCCAGCCTTGTAGCAAATGGTGACAGACCTCTCCTAAGAGAGATGGTGAATCAAACTGTGTAGTGAATCCATTGTGAAGGACACCCTGCTATCTCCTTGGATGTTTACATGCAGTATGGAGATCTTAGGGAGTTTGATTTGCCATTTATTATAATGGGTCTCAAGGAGAATCATACTATCCCAGACTCCTTGTTTATGAGGGAGGGATCTCATGAAGTAGTAAATGTTGCTCTGGTACTTTGCGTTACTGGAGAATACTTCAGGACTTGGAGTTGTGTACCTGGTTATTATTTTTTTAAATACGGAAGTCTAATTATTTTCTTTTCTTCTTTTGGTGATATGGGTATCCTTCAATTTATTTTGCCAGACACTGAGCTAAACTAACAGAAATGTCAAACTCTTGATGCCATGAAAAGCCAGTATTGAAGACTCAATAGTCGGAAGACTATTAAGCAGGTATTCTTTATTACGGTGCCGGGCACACGGGGGATCTCTCCTCCAAACGTATGCACCGAAGAGACACAGTTACTAGGTATTTATGCTATGTTAACATACATATTAATTACATTTCCAAGAAATGTTTATCATAATAATGATTTTTCCGAGAACTCATTAGGATATGGTAATGTCCGTCGCACATGTTTGTTTGGCGTCTCTTGGTGATCAGCGGGGTCTTCAGATTATCCTGCAGCCTCCTGATCTCTGTAGTTTGCATACCTGCACTCCCAAGGCCCAGCCACCTAAAGGGATTATTCAGGAGTCCCTTATCTTGCAACCGTCCCAATTATTCACAAAGAACCAAGACTTGTTTTGGTTGTGCAATGATTCTGACCACCTGAAGTGATAACATCCCCTACATGATACATTTGTTACATTTACAGTTATCACTCTGAAACTTAGTACTTCGTTTTCTGTACTCATCCACTAATTTTTACTGTGCTTGTTTCTGGATTTTTTGTAGCACCTTCAGAACAAAGGCACAGTATTTATACGTGTGCACACCGTATGTATACTATATGCAGTGTAGTAAAGATTAAATATGCAGTGCGTGTATATATGTGCACACTATACATAAGATATAGAGTGTGTCTCTATATATGTATATCTATATATATATATCTTTTTTTTTCCTAAAACAGTTCTGGCTTCTTCCCCAGCTTTCCACTCTTATCTCTTCCCACCATCTTCCTCTTGCCAAACCCTGCTTAGGGGAATGAATCATTCTTTCTAACAGTAGTAACGAGTACTATTCACAAGGCCCCGAATGTTTGCAGTGTTATGGGAAAATTGCCAAAGTAGGATTAGAATGGTGAATCTAGTTTCATGTTTCCATAGCTCATGTAGCTTTTCTGTTATAAAGATAGCTTAATAAGCTATTATAAGAAATAAATTGTGCAACATTATGACGACTCTGCTTTCCTGAGATGACTTTTGTTTATATTACCTTGATGCGGTGTAGCTCTCCTGCTTCTTGGTGCTACTGAACTTCCGGAACCTTCTACCGAAGTGAGGTCTGTGGGAAATGCAGTATTGCCATCTTGTGGCACCAAATGTTTCTGGCAAGCATCTGTGCAGTCCCAGCAGCCTCCATCCTTTCTGAGTGGCAACAACTATGCAGATATTTCTTCAGTTCCCAGAAAATCCAGTTTTACTTTTTTGACCAAAATTTCCAAGCTAGGTTATTTTATGCAAATAGGAAGATCATCCAGTTGAAGTTCTTGGATGGACTCCAGCCGTGTTCAACTTCATTATATCCAGCTGGGATCACAAAGTTGTGATCATTAGAGAAAAAGGTCGGATTTTAATAGCTGCCTCAAGTGCAGGGTACTCAACTCCTCTTGTGATGTATGTGGGTGAGAGAAACTCGCCTTATATACAGATCCACAAATTTATTATTTAGTGTAACTGAACTGGCAAAATCTATTCAAAACTTTATCAGTCCAATTAAAATGACTTCAGACATCTGAAGCCAAAGTACCCAGCTATTGCTAATTCCTATTAATGAAGTAGTTAAAGCTCACATACAGAAGCCTGCTGGTATCTACTCCTTTCTTTTGTGTTACGCTTACCCTGCCTGTGCCCCTGGAGATCTGGAGGCCAACAAGGGGCAGGAGAGGTCTACTATTCCAAAAAAAGGTGGGTAGGTGGCTATAGCAAGTTGTCAGTGTCTTGTGCTCTTCACTAGGAAGAACACACTCTTGATGGTGAAGGTCGCTTCCTCTTTGATCTTAGCTTCACTTAGGTTTGTTTTTATTCATTTGCTGTCACCGTCCACTTACTGGCTGTTCATTCATTGGCCAGCAATTTTGCATTGTCTCCAGTTTTACCATAGGTGGTTTGTTTTATATTTCCTGGATTCTTCTCTGTGTTCTCTTTGTTATCCCTAAAGCCAGGGTTATCAAGTTCACAAGGTTGCATTCCTGTAGCGAACACTGCTTGGTCACTGTGATCTGTGTATATCGCAGAGTCTCTGGATTTTCAAGGCCTTCGCTATCATTTACTTTTACTTTTGGGGCCCCTCATGCAATCCTGCTTTTGCCAACAATCTTCAAGATGCGCCTTCCTGATAAAATTATGTTATATTAACACAACCTAGTCATGTGTATGTCCTGGTTCTTGGGTCACCGAACTCTAAATAATCGTCTCTCAGCAGAGAGGTACATACACAATGCTTTGGTAACCAGTTATGAATACCTATTGTGACAGTATGCTTGGTACGTTACCAAGATTACTTTACAACACTGCTGTCTTACAGATTAGTCAGCAACCATACTTCTAGTCTGGAAACAAGGGACAGCCACGTGAAAAATAAGGGACAGTACTTTCTTTTAAGGGATATTTTAAGGAAAGAGCAATTTTCTTAAGATGGTGTTTTTGCCGAAGACTTCTCAAGATTGCTCACCCATGACCACATTTTATAAAGCAAGACACTTTGTTCCGTATAGCTGGTATTTAGCCACTTACATGATTAAAATTATATGCAGATACGAAACAGCTGAATATGTAGGGTAATGGTATTTGCATTTCTTGTACTACTTAGACTACAGCCATGAGAAAATACAGAATCACAGAATCGTAGGGGTTGGAAGGGACCTCTGGGGATCATCTAGTCCAACCCCCCTGCCAAAGCAGGGTCACCTACAGCAG